CAGGCTGTGGAGGTACCCAGAGCTGCAGAGGAGACGCCCTCGGTGGGTGCCCCAGGCATGTGGCAGAGGGGGAGGAGCCCTGGAGGAGGTAGGCCCTGGGGGGTGTCCCCTGACCTGTGGGTCTCCAGGCAGCCTGTAGGGGTGCCTTGTGCTGTGGAAGAGGAAGCTAGATGCGGCGGCGACCCAGGGTTCAGGGAGAGGGGACAGGCTGTGTGGGCAGAGACGGGCTCTGCAGGTGACCCAGGGCCATGGGAAGTAGCCCAGACCCGCGGGAGGTGGTCTGGGTCCGAGGAGCAGGAGGCAGGCCCCGGGGGGCCGCACCCCGCCTCTGGCGGGTAGGACAGGCCATGGGCACACCTCGGGCTTTGGGGCAGGAGGCAGGCGGTGGGAGTGTGCCAGGTCTGTGGGGACCAGCCCAGCCTGTGGGGGTGTCCCAGGCTGGGGTGGTGCCAGGAGCCATAGGAGAGCAGACACATTACGGTGGCATCCCAGGCCTGTGGGCCAGGCAGCAGGCTCTGGGGGTGCCTCTGGCTGAGGCAGTGCCAGGGGTGGTTGGGGAGGAGACGTGCTGTGAGGATGTCCCGAGTCTGTGGGAGAGGAGGCAGGCGGTGGGGGAGCAGGAGGCTCTGGTTCCGACAGCGTTAGGGGTCCCTGGGTCCGTGGACCAGGAGGCTGGCTACAGGGATGTTGCCTGTCTGTGCAGGAGGAGACAGGCCGTGGGCGTGTCTGAGGCGGTGGGGGTGCCCGAGGCATCAGGCATGGCCAAGCACAGGTGCGCCCCCGCGGGGGTCCCCGCAGCTGTGGGTGCGCCTGGCTCTGGGAGGGTGCCTGCCGCTGTGTGGGTGTCAGGCCCTGCATGTCCGGAAGTCAGCTCTAGAGGGGTCTCGAACCCGTGGGAAAGCGTTCCCACTACCGGAACGCCCCTGGCTGCCGGGGTTCCTGTGGCTTCTGAGGAGCTGGTGGCTGTGAGAGAGAATGCGGGGTCTGCGGCTTTCCCAAGGTTATGGGGAAGGAGGCCGGTGCCCGGGCTTCCGGTGACTGACAAGGTTGCTGTAGCTCCCGAGGTACCTGGGCTTGTCGGGGAAGAGACTAGCTCTGGGGGTGTCCCCAGATCTTGGGGAAGGAGGCAGAGTGCCAGGGTTCCTGTGGCTGTGGAGGTGCCCGCTGCTCCCCGGGTGCCTTGTCCTCTGGGGGTGGAGACCGGCTCTGGGGGCTTCTCACACTTGCCAGGGAGGAGACAGCCTGCGGGGGTACCTGTGCCTGTGGGGTTGCCTGGGCCTGTAGAGGAGACACTCTCTGGGGATCTCTTGGGCTCATCGGGAAGAAGACAGACGGCGGAGATGCCCGTGGCTGCCAGAGTCGCCATGGCTGGCGCTCCTGGGCTGGTGGTGGGTGACGCTAGTGCTGGGGATGTCGCTGGTGCATGGGGAAGGAGACTGGCGACGGAGGGGCCCACCGCTGCCCGGGCTTCGGGACCTGTGGGCAGGGAGACGGGCTCTGAAGGTGTGCCAGGCCTGTGGCGGAGACCCACTACAGTAGTCCCCGAGGCTGTGAGGGTACCTCTGTCTTTGGGGGTGCTTGCAGGTGTAGGAGTTCCCATGGCGGGGCACGTGCCTGCTGCGGTGTGGGTGTCTGGGTCTACAGGAGAAGAAACCACTGCTGCTGGCTCAGGCCTCACCGTGGTGACGAGACAGTCTGCAAGGGGGCCGGGGGCTTCAGGGGCGGAGACGGGAGGTGGGAGTATCCTGGGGCTGGCAGGGAGGAGCCAGGCAGCGGGGGTGTCTTACACCCATGGGTGCGGGACCAGGTCCTGGAGCTGCCCAGGGTCTGTGGGGGAAGGAACCGACTGGGAGAATGTGCCAGGAGTGTCAGGGACAGGAGCGACTGGGGGCGTGAATGAAGCTGTGGCAGTGTCCTCAGTTTCAAGGGAGGAAATGGGCATTGGCCGTTTCAGAGATCACCCACAGCGGAGAGGGAGCAGACAGGCTGGAGGAGTGTCTGGAATGAGAGTGAGGGGGGACAATTTGGGAGAAAATTGTGTGGGGGAGGACAGATGGAGGGGGGCATTCCTGTAGTAAGAGTAGGGCACAAGTTGAGGGGTCCTGGGACTCTGGGAGGGAACACTGTTGGAGAGATTTGTCCTGGGTTGTGGATGAAGGCACAGGATGTAGAGGTGTCTCAGGATGGGGGAGGGGGGATATTGTGTGGAGAAGTCCCACGGTATGTGGGGTAACGAATTGGGAGGTTTCCTGGAGCAATTGGAAAGGGACAGATTGCAAGGAGAAAGGTGTCCCAGGACTTTGTACAGGGGAACAGTTTGGGTGTGTGTGTGTGTGTGTGTGTGTGTGTGTGTGTGTTTGGCATCACTCGGGGTATCGGGGAACTGGGCATCACCTAGTTTATTCCTGTAGAGAAAGGATCATTAGGCCTTATGCAGCCCGGGGGAAGGTGTTGACCACATAAAAGTTGCAGTCACCCTGGCCCCCAATTCTGCAGACTCCTTCATTGTGCGGCTCCAGCCCCTGAACTGGTGATACCAAGCCAGTTGGGATTGCCAGGCCCATGTACCTCCTCCCATCTTTGTTTTTATCTTGTCTCTACAGCCTTAGAAATAAGGAATCTTGGACAGCTGCCTTTATGTTCCTTCAGATGTATCTGTCTTTAAGCAAATCCAGTCTACAGATGTTGGGTTTATTCAGAAGCTTAAATTAGGGATTTTTTTTTAAAACCTGCATTTCCCAGTTGATTTACCATGGGATTCTTTGAGAGAACAAATTCTCCATTTAACACGAGTCAGTTCATGGAAAATCAGCTTAATTCAACAAATGAGTTAAATTGTCTACTATGCTCAAAGCACTGTATTGTGGGAAATATCAGAGAAGAGCAAGACAAGGCCCTTCCCCTCAAGGAACCTTGTCTAGCTGGGAAGATGAGACATATACCTGTGAAATAGGTAAATAACAACGTGAGACAAGTGTGTAACAAGCACGTGACGCGTGCAGGGATAATGCCGTGTCCATAAGGAGGCCTTCAGAATAGGCAGAGGCAGTGATAATGAGTAGAGCCCATAACAGCTTAACACTTCCGTATCTTTTATCTCCGCTGTGTGTGCGTAGAGGGGGGAGATGGGGAAATGGAAGGTGTGGAGAGGTCATTCAGTGGTTAATGGCAGATCCTGGCATAAATCTAGATATTCTGACCCTGAGGTTTACTTAGAGTCGTTCAATTGTGTCCTTTTGAGCCACCTCATAGAGCAAGCAGGACTACTTTCTGACTAGTGGTTGGGATTTATTAATGTAGAACAT